TGCTGTCGCCTCCAAAGTCAGCACGTCCCCAGGTCACAACCGATCCATCGCCAAGAATGGCAGCAAACGCGTTAGCAGTGGCTTTAATTTGAATCGTGTTGGTGCACAATAGGGTGAGGGAGTCACCATTCTGCACCCTGGCTTTCTTCATCGGCAAAGTTCCTTCCACGACGCATCCAGATGAGTCCAGGAGCCGCCCTGTCCCGACCCCGAGTGCAACCTCTGCTCGTCGTTTCAATGTTCCCACCGTCTCATCCAAGGCTGCTTGTACAGCGGCTTTCCTGCCACTGATCAGCCCAACTTCCACGTGAATCGACATGTTGCGAACCCGGCAATATCTGATCCCTCACCTTTTTACGCTCAAGGTTCAGGAATTGAAAAAAAGGATTCAATCTACTGAAAGTTCGGCTGGGCACTCCGACCCTTCCATGACGCTTGCCTTCACTAATTAAGTGCTGACTTGACAACCCTCGTGTACCCAGGATGCATGGAAGTCATAGCCTACTGACTACTGTCTACACGTCGTTTGGCATGCCAAAGCAACACGTACATTAGGTACACTCCTCCTCCCCTTCTGAATGATACAGAGGGAAGCCCAGACTGTTCTCAAGTCAAGTTTGATAATCGAACGACCCGAACCCCTGAACCCGGATGCACGGCCTGCAAGACTCAATCATCATGTGGTCACGAAGTAGAGGAACAGCTGAAGATCCAGAGAACTCTCCAAGTACACACTACATCCTACAACCTCCACCGAAGCAGTCCCCTCAAACCAAAAAAACTTGCCATGTCAATGTTGAAGAAAGCTGAACGCTTCGAGGTTAAGGAGTCTTGCAGACCGTAGTCTGGTCTGAACCTACAGAAGACAATGGCTTGCTTGGGTTTTTAGGGTTAAGGGTTAAGGGTTTAGGGTTTAAAGTTCAGGGTTATTTAGGGTTTGAGGGGAATACGAATACTCTCGGTCTATAGTTACTTGATAGGAAGGAAAAGCACGAAGTAGCTGGGTGGTACAAAGAGATGCGGGACCACCCGCGATCCTCCATTACACTGCAATCCTCGTGCTTGCAAACCTTGCACCACCCAGAAACTGGGGTCCCGCCGGAAAACACAACTATACTGAACTTAGAACCCTAGCAAAAATTACAATTTTAGCTGTTTCTTGGGGATTATAATAACCAAAAATTAAAGAATATTTCTAAGTACCCCTAAGACAAGGCATCTTCGCACTGCTGCCGGACCGAGCAAGGCCGTAACGAGAGCGCACGCGCAATCCGGGCAGAACTCCCCGGCAGGACATGCTTCTGCAGCAGATCTTTCGCAGTTCTGTGCACTCTTATTATCGTAAATGAAAGATATCCTGCAAGTAATGTGACCCTTTAGAGAAGGAGACAGAGACACCCTGTGACTACGAAAGCGAAAGAACCTGTATGAATATTGTCTTGACCCTGAGGCAAAGAAACCTAAGGGCTCTTCTTACATGGAGACGCCGGACCCTCGCAAGCAGATATCTGGAATCCCTGGGGACACTAAAGCACCCAAACAGAGATGATCTAACAGCCTGTCATTGAAATCACAGAATGCCATAATCATACGGCAATGTGGAACCCCAACCTCATAATAGGATAGAGAGTTTAGGGTTCAGGGTTTAGGGTTTAGGATTTAGGGAACCCGTTCCAACCCAAGCACTAGCCGCTCATGCTCCGCGTCCTTCTCAAGCTGAAGGAAGAACTGGAACTTCCTTCAAAAAAGTGGGGTTTGGTAGTTTAAGGTAGGGCATAATAAACTCTAAACTCGGTTGAGGGCTTATAGGGTTCATAGGACTATACTGAACTTAGAACCCTAGCATAATTTTAGCTGTTTCTTAGGGATTATACTAACCAAAAATGAAAAATGTTTCTAAGTACCCCTAAGCTTCTTTGGGTCCAGCTCCGACAGGGAAATGATCTTCGCCAGCGCGCCTTATCGGTGGGCGTTTAGGGTTTCGGGCTTGGGCTACTAGATCTCTTGTGGTCCCTAATACTCATATAGTGCGTGTGTATAACTTACAACAGTTTTTGAGGGTATGATAACTGGTAGTTGAGGATGATCTTCACCAGTGGGAGTGGGCACAGCACTTTTCTTTAAACCGGTGATTGTGCCTTAAAGGGTATACAGGCTTTAGGGGTTTAGCCGCTAAACAAACCCCAAAATCAAGTCAACCAGCTCCCAAAAGCCTAAAGATCTGAATCCCTTCGCCCACAAGCCCTTCACCCTACATGCCTACCCAGAGGCCCCAAAGTAGCTCCTTTTGGGGATTACCTTATAGGATTCTATATATGAACCCCAAAAAGGAACTACTTTGGGGCCTTTGGGTAACTCCAAGATCCTAAACCCTAAAGCCTGCATCGCCCTAAATGCCTAAACTCGAAGATCCCTTTAACGAAATCCCGACCCCCTCAACCTGCAATTCGGCTCTGAACTCTAAACTCAAGCTTCTTGGAACACCCCCTTTTAGTGTTTAGGGTTTAGGGGTTTAGGGGTTTAGGGTTTAGGGTTTAGGGGTTTAGGGTTTAGGGCCCCAAAAAGCGCATCCTTCAGAGCTCGCCGTTCGAAAGCCCACACCGAGACTCTGGTGATTCTAGGTTCAAGGTTTCGTGTAGGGCTGTTTGGAACTCATCTTCAGGGCTCAGGAAACCCCAAGCCCTATACATCTTCATCCCAACTACCATGGGTGGTGGTCAAAATTAGGGTCCCTTTTTGGGTACCATAAATATTAGGTGCCGTATTATAATCGGTACTGAAAAGGGGACCATGATTTTGACAACCACCCACATCTTTAACCATCGCAGACTGGGGTTGAGGGTTGAGGTGAACGTATGGCTACACATGCCTACTGTAGGAAAGGCTCTAAGCATGCCTCAGGGGTCACGGCGCAGGGTTTGGGGTTTACGGTTTAGGGTTCTCCAACCGCAGCCCAAAGATGCTAAACGGTATACCCTCAACCCGAAACCCCTGAATCCTGCATCGACCTCTGAAACCTTGAATGCTAAATTCAGGCCTCAAGCCTTCAGCCCTGAACAGCCTCCGACGATCTTGTAGGGTTCTGGGTTCGCGTAGCGAAGATTCTGAGGCTGAGAGTTGAGGGCCTCCATTTTTACGTGTTTAGGATTCAAGGTTCAGGGTTTAGGGTTTTGGTGTTTTTTTAAAATGCACTGCCCTTTTCCTTGCGTCCAAGGGTCCGCCTCGGTACGAGGCTTGCACAAAGCACACATGTTGTGCGCATCAGAAAACATTATCAGTTGCCCTGTGACTCAAGAACCTCGGCATTCACATCAGAAGCGGACTGACCACCATCCCTTTCAGGACTGAGTACAGAGCCCTCAGCTTCGACAATAGGCACACTATCATCAACGACAGTACTTGACTCCCCAAGTGGAAAGACAGACGCATCAGCTACGATTGTCGTAGAGGCATCAGACACTGCAGCATTCAGAACTTCCATCTCAGAGTACTCTGACGGGTTTTGGGGTTTAGGGTTCAGGGTTTAAGGTATAGGGTTTAGGGTTCAAGGTTTAGGGTGGTTGGCCTGGAGTTGGTTGGGAGTCTCGATCGTGCCTCATACGTGTTTTAGACAGGAAATTTATAGGGTTTGAAGGCTTCTCAGGCTTTACTTATTAAGGGTCAATTTTAAGGATATAACTCCTTTCGGGCTGTTTAGGTGTGACTAACTGTCTGAAAAGCTCTCTGTCAGAGCCTGGCATCTGTGGTTCAGTAATTCAGGGTGCGACAGCTCCTTTCTAAGATGGGCCTTCGGAGTTAAACGCTCATCTGCTGTATGCTCGCTTTAGAAGTCTGCACATAGCTACTGTCGCCACCACGGTCGGCATCGCCCCAGGTCACAACCGATCCATTGGCAAGAATGGCAGCAAAAGAGCCGTTAGAGGCTTGGATCTGCTGCACATTCTTCAGCTGCCCCTGCACAGCACAACTGTCACCACCAAAGCCAGCAGGACCCCAGGTCACCACCGATCCATCACCCAGAATGGCAGCAAAAGCGCGCATGGAGGCTTGGATCTGCAGCACATTTTTCAGCTGCCCCTGCACGGCACAACTGTCGCCACCGTAGCCAGCAGGACCCCAGGTTACAACCGATCCATTGCCAAGAATGGCAGCAAAAGCGCGCGTAGAGGCTTGGATCTGCTGCACGTTCTTCAGCTGACCCTGCACCGCAGTACTTTTGCCACCATAGCCAACATGACCCCAGGTCACCACCGATCCATCACCCAGAATGGCAGCAAAAGCGCAAGTAGAGGCTTGGATCTGCTGCACAGCCTTCAGCTGCCCCTGCACAGCACTACTGTCGCCACCGCAGTCAGCAGCGCCCCAGGTCGCAACTGATCCATCGCCAAGAATGGCAGCAAAAGCGCACTCGGACGCTTGGATCTGCTGCACATTTTTCAGCTGCCCTTGCACAGCACTACTGTCGCCACCGCAGTCAGCAGCGCCCCAGGACACAACTGATCCATCGCCCAGAATGGCAGCGAAAGCCCCACTTGGAGAGGCTTGGATCTGCTGCACATTTTTCAGCTGCCCTTGCACAGCACTACTGTCGCTTCCATACACCCTGAAGCCCCACGTCACCACGGATCCATCGCCGAGAATGGCTGCATAAGCACCACCCGAGGCTTGGATCTGTTGCACATTCTTCAACTGACCCTGCACGGCACTACTGTCGGCACCATATGCCGCGGATCCCCACGTCACCACGGATCCATCATCGAGAATGGCTGCATAAGCGCCGCCAGAGGCTTGGATCTGCTGCACATGAGTCAACTGACCCTGCACAGCATTACTGTCACCACCATAAGCAGCAGAACCCCAGGTCACCACCGATCCATCACCCAGAATGGCAGCAAGAGCGCCGTAAGATGCTTGGATCTGCTGCACATTCTTCAGCTGACCCTGCACTGCACAACTATCGCCACCATAGCCAGCAAGACCCCAGGTCACCACAGATCCGTCGCCAACAATCGCAGCGAAAGCGCAGCCAGCTTTTTGAATTTGAACTTTGCTTGTGTGAAATGTCAGTGAATCGCGATTCTGAACGCTAACATCCGTGATCAGGGCAGACCCATCAAGCACGCTTCCAAACGAGTCCAGTAGCCGCCCTCTTCCGACTCCGAGTGCGATCTGCGCCCTTTGTGTCAATGTCTCCACAGTTTCGTCCAGGCCTGCTTGCACAGTAGCTGTCTTGCCACTGAGCAGTGAAACTTCCACGGTAATTGACATGCTCCACGCGGGGACATGTCCGAAACCCTGCTGCTGCTAATTCACGGGTTTGGAACCTGAAATTTGAAGTTTACCTACACCCCGTTACATATGTTAGAAGGGTCCTCGACCCTGAACCCTAATCCGTAAAATCTTGATGGGGAGCCATACAGGTTTTGATCCCTGGGAATATCGAAGTGTCGCACCTACGTATGTTCACTTGCCTCTGGGCAGTCCAGCTTGCACAGTGAACGACATGCTGCACGCTGCGTGTTTCCCATGGGTCCGTGCGTTGCGGATAAGGGTGTTGAGGTTTTGTGTGGCTTCAGGGATGCACGAAATCCCGATTGGACAGTCTTTTTTCCTGCTAACTAACTACAAAGCTAAAGTGTAGTAGTCCAAAATTGAAGTGACCGTAAGCTTTACTGAATTATAGCTGCATCCTCAGCGCCAGTCGGGATCAATCTTCTTCTTGCAGAGACGAGACCCTGAAATACAGCTTCGCAAATGATAAAAGCGATATCGTTTACAGAACCCCCCCACACAAGGTTTCAAAGGGTTCATGGCTTAAGTGAGATTCAATAGATTATAGATACGACTTGCGGTTTTGGGGTGAGGACTGCGTTCTTAGCTGAGCAAACTATCATGGCGTCACTCCTCTCTCGAATACTGCATGTTCTTTTTCAGTTGAGGATCCGAAACTCGAATGCGTGGACCCTGAAATCTGAAAATGACAGGGTTTAAGTTTAGAGTGTATCATTCATGAGTGTTAGGCTCTTGCAGTTTAGGCTTCGGGCTGGCCTAGGGCTACTAGATCGAATAACCATGATTTGCAGAAAGCTTCTCCACTCGCGATCCCTGAACTGAACCCTGCATCCCGATTTACCCTAAGCACTAAACTCCGCACACCCCAACCTCTCAATCCCGAGTCTCTAAACCCTTTTGAAGCCTCGCTTGATAAACCGAAAGCCCTAAACCCTAATTAAGTCGCAATCTCTAAACCCTATGTTTTGCAAACCCTAAACCCCAAACCCTATCTGACAGACCCCTTGTCGCCAGGGATCCTCGAGGGCCGCAAGGCACGGCAAAGAGCGTCTGGAGGCTGCTGGCGAGGACGGCCTGGGACTGCTTCGGGAGCTTTAAGTCGGAAACCCTATGTTTAGAGCCTCGCGTTTGGGACTTCAGGCACCAAAAAATTTCTGGCATGATTATCTGGCATCTCTTGCTTTTTGGGTTGAACCCGTGCTCATGGTTTATATATGAGGATGGTTCCAGGATTGGTATGCGGCGTAGAGGTTGCGGTTTGGTAATTTGTGGGGTTCAGAGTTTATGCAAGGCGCTTGAGGCCCGTTTTGAGCCAAACCCCTAGACTGATCCAAACGAGAGTGGTCCACATTCGAAAAATTTAAGTTTCACTTTCTGTTTAAGGTTTAGGGTTTATTTATAGGGCTTACGGTTTAGGGGCGTTTAGGGTTTAGGGCCGGGCTTGCGACGATCTTGGGTTCGTCCGATCAACTTTGGGGACGCCTCAGTAATTGCCTAAGTCCCTCTGGGTCCAACGTCATCCCTAAACCCTTACACTAAAACCCACTTGAACACCTCTGAACCCTTATAATATTGACTCATATTCCCTGGACCCTTTTCGGGAGAGGGCTTTCCCTGACCTGAGCTCCGTGCAGCGAAATCTTCCGGTTGGAGTTTGCTGTACTCCTCCTGGCAGCATCAAGGCAGGAACTCCCGCGCCGGGGTTTCGGATTTAGGGTTTTGATTAGGTGCATTGGGCCTTTTCCGTGCAGCCACCCTGCCTACATAGGTTTGCGACGTACATTAAAACAGCAGGCTTCTCTTGTTTGGACTGGATTGCCACCCTATAGACAGAAAAAATAAATCCTCTACCTCATGCTTTAAAACCAGTTTAGACTTTAGGGTTTAGGATTGAAGGTTTAGGGTTCAGCAGCTCCGGACCGAGCAGTATTAAGTAAAGTTGTATTTGCAGTTTACAGTCTTGATATAGCACTCACCCACCCAAAGAAACTATCACTAAACCCCCTTGCTCCGTTCGAAAGTTTCTACCAAAAAAAATTTCTCTATTTTTGAGTTCGGATCTAGGGTTCGGACTACTATTTCAATATTCTTGGCCACGGCCGACGAAGTTTTAGCCTTGGCCGACAAATGTTTGGCTTTGGCCGACGCCGAAGCCGTAAGGTCGAAGCCCTATGCTTCAGCTTTCGAATCCAAGGAGTCAACCACTAGATCTTCAGGAATACGTATTCCTGAAGTATGTCAAGACCGACACATCCGGCATTTCTTTCATCAGTTGCACCAAAGAAGACCAAGCTTTGTCTTTCAACCTTGTCGCAACTACCCGGCGACAAAAAGGAGATGCTCGCGGCAGCTCCTATATGAAGGCGTTTTTCGCGAGTGTATCGGACGGCGAGCCTCCGTTTAAGACATTGTGTGCAATAAACTTCCTTTCCGACAGATTCAACTTCAGCTTGTTTTTAAAACATTCCGTCGCTGCGTCACGCAAAGACGCAATGTTCTTTGACGCTTGACCAACACTCATGCTTCGGTTTCAGTTTCTCCTAGAGCTGTAGACGCCTGACACTGCAGCAAGCGAAACAGTGAACAGCCCCGAAGCATCCCGCAGCGGTATTAGCTTACACATTTTGGACATCGGGTTCGGAGGCGGCTAACGCTCATGTGTGCTCAAGTTGTACCCATAGCTCTTGCCGGGTTTAGGGGTTTAGCCTTCAGGGGTTGGATTTCTGGCTTGTCGGTGCCGCTTTGGGCTCATTTGTCGTTTCCGTTCTTGGGATGTTTCAGATTTGGGCTTCGCATCACTTCTGGTCTCATGTGAAGCTTTGGGTCATTCAGGGTTTAGAGCGTCTGGGTTACTTTCGCCTCCTGCTTCGCAAGGACGAGCCCACATGACGTGGCAGTGCGTTTCGATATAGAGATAGGGGTTTTCTAATTAGAGCTTGTGGTTGATTCATGTTGATTCGGAATTACTCGGATTGCAGCTGGCAAATCTTCTTGAAAGTTCACCGGCTGATATAGGTAAGCTTACCCCAACGAAGCCCCGACCCAACCCTCATCCGCTTGCAGGCCACGCCCGCTTCAGAAATGCGCTCGCATGAGCGGCATTCCGCGCTTCCTCGCTGTGGCGCACTCCGCGGGTAAGACACCTGGGGCAGCTGCAGGCAGCTAACCGCCCCACCAACTCCAGCGCCTGGCGAATACGGCGGGCCTGCAGGCCGTCTGACCGAAACCAGGGCAAAGACCCGGGCTGGTCTTGGGTACAGCACAAGGCCAGGTCCACCACCAAGTCGGTCCACGCCTCTGGCACATCCTCGTGCCAAGCAGCATGCCGAAGAAAAACACCCAGTCAGAGGGCATGGCAGGCTGGGGCGCCATATTTTGCCATCCTCAAGACCAAATTGTGTCAGTGGTCCGGACGCTTGTTTCCCGACAATGTTCCGACTATGACTGCATCTTTGTTGCCCAAGCTGCGCGGTAGCCTAAACTGGGAATCTTACGTGAAACCTCAAGGGCCGGGGGAATGGGCCCGAATTTGGCGGGAATGCGTCACTTCCGCGGCTCCCGCTGCACCACATGCACATGTTCGAATGACATCGCGTTCTAGCCAGAATCCTGCACGGGGAAAGTCCTGCCGCGTCGCCGTAAGCATGGTAAAGTACAAGGGGATGCTCCTGCCACAATCCCGTGCTCGTGTACTCTACCATCCTTGTGCTACGCCGTGAAAATCGCCTCACAAAATCGTGCTCCTGTCACGGTGACCTGTGGTGCCACGGTGGTCTGCGGTCTCTGGGTCTGTTGTCTCGTGTGTTCTGTGTCTTCCCTTTGCTAAGAAAAAGAACTCTTGGACCCGTAAACCCTCTAAAACCCCCAGAACCCTCCCACAATGCTCTGTCAGGCTATTTGGAAAACTAAAAAAACGGACCGAAAACTTGAAAACCGTCTCTGAGACCCCTGCAACCTCAAAGCCCAAAAACAGAGCTTGAATAATCTGAGGAACCTTTCTAAAACCCTATACAAAGCCTTGCAAAGCTGAATTTAGACCGAAACGGAACGAGCCTAAACCCTATACCATGCGACCTCAGAGAATCTTCGGCCGCCTTGGACGCCCGGGTTCCCTGCAGCCGGCGAGCCATCTGCCGAATGGCCGCCTTCGAAACAAGCAGATGTCGTTCAGGGCTCTCTGTAAGGGGGTTTCTTTGCAGTGTTTAGGGTTTAGGGTTTAAGAGTCTCTGTGGCTAAGATGTCGTTAAGGGTTCGATAAGGTTTTCTTTAGAGGGCTCTATAAATATGGGGGATCTCTACACGGGGACAGGGATGTTCGGCGCTTTGAAATCTTAAGCGTTGTATAGAATATCAGGACACAGGGGTATGATTTCATTACCCGTTACGGATCTAGAGTTTAGAGCTGTGGGGAGTCTCTGTCTTGACGAGGTTGAAAGCGTCGCTTTACCCCAAAGTTTGTTTTGAGGGTCTCATGTTCCCTAAGGGTCCATGTACCCATATAGAGATACATGGGCCCCAAAGTACCTATATAGGGACTACATTAAGGCCAACGTATATACTATATGGGCACATGGACCCTTAGGGGTTCGCCGTTGAGGCTACAAGTATACAGCACCGAGCGCTACCGCCTTTCTGCTTTGGTCTAGGGCGCAGAACTCTGAAGCCTAAACCCCGAAACCCCACAAAAGCCTCTACGCCCTGAGCCATGAAATTAGGGTTTTGAGTCTCGGGTTTAGGGTGTAGGGTTGTCGATCGCAACGTAGGCATGCCAGAATCCACCTGTTCTTCGCCCGCCTCCACTACGTTCCGTACGGCGCGGCCGTTGCCCCGCGCCTAGTGGACAGGTTGGGGGGTTTGCGCAGGTGCACCAACTTAATTAAAGGATCATGGGACTTAGTAGCTAGGGTTATAAATCAGGCAACTATACTTAAAATTACTTACAACCCCAGTTAGGGGACTTATAACCTGACTTACTAAGTCCCCTGATCCTCCAAGAAGGCCCTCCCCTAAAACGGCCCATATTCCGCAGAAACGGGGCTCCTTTTTATGACGACAAAACTAAACCCTAGAAACCCGGATCCTATTACTTCGGGTTCTAGAGAATCCGCTGTTGTCTGAAACTCCGGAGAAGCGACACCATTGCAATCCCGCGAATCCGATCGTTTGAGGCCTAGGGTCTAGGGAAAACCGGTTCGTGAGCTTCAGGGCTTACCTATAGTCTCCATTGTACTTCCTTTTTTTGGTTTAACCAATTTTATATTATTAAGGATCCTACAAGGTAACCCCAAAAAGGAACTACAATGGATACTATAGGTAGAATTTGGTTTCTTGCAGGGGCTGAATTCGGAAAACTGGCTACACAGAAGAGCAATCTGGACAAGGCCCTAAAGCCTGAACCCGAACCCAGACCTTCCAAAATGCCTTAAGGAATATACCTTAAATCATATTAAGGATCCTACTAGTATATTCCTTAATTAAGGGGTTTTGGAAGGTCTGGGTACCCCTGTTTGAAGCCCCAAAACTATTTTTGGAGGAGCCTTGTCCGGGGGACAGTCTTCCAACTTCTCGCAACCTTGGATTGGTTTGGGGGGTTGTTTGAGGGATCGGGTTGAGGGTTACCGGGGGCCTCAAAAGGTAGGATGAAGGTAGGTGGGATATTCCCAAATAAGAGTCCTCATATATGGTAGAAGCCAGAAAGTTGGAACATTAGTATCCTCATGCCCCTAAAGTAAAGTATACGGGATCCTAGCACAAATCCTCCTAAATCCATGTTCCAACTTTCTGGCTTCTACTGTAAGGGATCCTTAATCCCACGTACCTTCATCCCACCTTGTGAGGCCTCCGAGGTTAACGGCTTAGGGTCTGGGGTCTTGCAGCCTCGGTTCTCAGAGAAACCAGAAAGATTCTCGTAAGGGTTTAGGGTTTAGGGTTGCATATGCTCTTGAATGTCGTTTGTTTTCTGCGTCACCAAATATGCCGCTAGCAATAAGGAACCCGAAACCCTGAAGCTAGCCACAAAAGGAGACTAGTTGTGCGTATTATAATAAGGACCCCAAAAATTTGACAAGCACTCAAAAGCATGTACATGTATGTCTTGCCCGCCCAAGTTCATGGGAGCCGAGGCGGCAGACCCCTACTGTGGCATCCTCACTTTATACGGATAGCATCTGAAACATAGTATCCCTAATACATGGAACAGGGTGTTGGGGTATATTCTACTACAGATATGATACGATTCCATACCCTGAAGCATAACTTTGTATAGAAACAACTCAAGCTTCTACCCTACGATTGGGGTCCCAGCTGTCATTAATCACTCCATTTCGGAGTTGGGCTTCGCGGTTTACGGTTGGAGTGGTTTTGGGGGTTCAAGGTTTGAGAAAACTAAGCCCCACACTCCCAGAAGCTAAAACCGCTCGAACCCTTCGGCTGCCACACAGAATCCTAAGCGTAAACCCTGCTGCTTATGGTCAAAGCACTTGCCAGTAATAAAGCGGAGTCAAGCTCATACCATAATGCGATCCACAGCTTCGGGTGCTCTCGGTATCGCATTTGTTTTCTATCAGCTATCTTAACCTCTATAAGCACCCTTTGCGCCGCCGGTGCACATCCCGTGGACAAAGTGATGGCATCGTTGTAGGTGCCCAAGTCTGCCGGGGGTGTCAGAGCCTCACCGGTCAGGGCTTAGTCTAGAGGAGTTGGGCTTTGTTTTTAACCTACACCCTCGTCTTGTGACTGGCCTTATATGTCTCTTATCAAACCTCCAAAAGAGAAGAGGACACATTGACATTTTGGCGGAGTCACCTCTGAGACTAGGTTCGCCAGTGCCCCCCTGATCCTGAACTCTAAATCCGCTAAATCCCAAACGTGAGTCTGAACCCTTTCCGCATTCCGGGACAGGCTTGAGACATGCCAGGAGCCGCGCCTTTGTTATGTTCGGTTGTCACTGAGATCGTGAAGAGCTGAGCCAGCTGAGCCGCGGAAGGACATGGCAGCAACAGCCACCAAGTCTCTGAGGTGCTGCACTTCGCTTCATGCTGGTGTCGTTTCCCTGGCCTGTTGCAAGGACCAGCAGCACCTTCGAAATGTTTTGCGCTGCTTCGACCAGCATCTCTCTGCAAGGGCATGTCTTGGTTCAGCCACGTCCGATGCGAACATCTTCCCGATGCAGCCTCATGTTCATTCCCACGCGGCAGCCATTATCCAAACAATCTGACTTTCCATCTGAAGCTTATACCCCAAGGGTCCAAAGGACCCAATACTTGGGTACTCGGTTTTCGGATAGTAGTTATGTAGGTTAGGATTTTGGAGAGTATAGGACTGTTGGGTACTTGGACCATAGGGATACTAAACCCTGCTGAATCTTTCCACGATCCCACGACATGTGTGGTCTGAATCTATGTCTAATCGCCTGCTGGGGTTGCTCCACTTCTGCCGCAACCATTGCGGATTTACTCTGAAAGCTTGTCGCGGGCCCCTGAACCCTAAACCCTCAACCCTCAACCCTAAACCCTAAACCCTAAACCCCTAAACCCTAAACCCTAAACCCCTAAACCCCTAAACCCTAAACCCTAAACCCTAAACCCCTAAACCCCTAAACCCTAAACCCCTAAACCCCTAAGCCCTCAAGCCACAAACAGGAATGGCTTTCGGGGCTCCCGGGTCTCCACAGGGGGAGTGCATTTGGTTCCGACATGGCCCTGAACCCCAAAAAAATCCAAACGGTTTAGGGTTCAGGGTTTAGGGTTTTAGGGTTTAGGGTTCCCCAAACCCTCTAAAGAATTAACCGTAACCCTCGACTCAAGCATAAAAAAGTTCTGAAGATCCCAGAAACCCCAAAACCCCTAAACCACTAGACCCCTGAAGCCTAAACCCTGAACCCTAAACCCTAAACCCTAAACCTTAAACCCTGAACCCTACCCTAAACCCCTAAACCCTAAACCCTAAACCCTAAACCCTAAACCCTAAGCCCTAAACCCTAAAACCTAAACCTAAACCCAAAAAATCGAGCAGAAGACTCAAGGGCCTTGGGCTTGAGCGACAGCAGTCCAATCTCCGTGAGCTGTGGACAGGTGTAGTCCTGAAACATTAAAGGGAACTCCAGAAAGTTGGAATATGGTTTCATGGTAGGATACCCTATAATTTACCATAGAAGGGTTAGGATAATCATATTCCAACTTTCTGGCTTCTACGGTATCTGGTTCTTAGAAGGGAAAGGGGGAATGGATCCCCATGATAGTCCCTTAAGGTCCCCTTTTAGTAGGTCCCCATAGCTCATTCCCCCATTCCCTACTAAGAATCAGACAGAACAGGGAAGTTAGGAGCATAGTGTAGGAACCTGATGAAGAAACCCTGGCCCTATAACCCCAATATATTTATGAAGATCCATATTCAGAACCCTAATAAAGGCCCAAGGTTTCTTAATCAGGGTCCCACATTAGGGCTCGGGACTTACTTGAACTTGGGATTTCGATACTTAGGATTTAGGGACATGGGATTTCGAGACTGAGGGGTTCCGGGCTTGCAAGGGTCTACTTGGAGGATCAGGGGACTTAGTAAGTAAGGTTATAAGTCCCCTCCTTGAGGTTATAAGTAATTATAAGTACAGTTACCTTATTTATAGCAAACCCCATAAAGTTGGAAACCGGATTAAGGCCAAATAGTGCTGGGATTCCCTATACATTACACTTAAGGATTGAGGCTATTGGTTTTCCAACTTTTAGGCTTCTACTGTAGTTACTAAGTCCCATGATCCTTTAAGTAAGGTCCACAAGGATGTTGGGGTGTACGGATTGAGATGTAGGGGATTTTCGGCAGGGCTTAGGCATCTGCGAAACTGCTAGAACAAACTGGCCGTCAGAGTTCCGGGATGCGTTCATAAGGGTAAGGGGCTTTCCCTAAGGGGGAAGCCCACAATAGTATTGACAATTATTAAGGCCCCTATAATGGGGCTCTTGAAGCGTTAAAGACGCCAGCACCAGAGCACCCCCTCAACACGCCCACACCCTCAACTCCATGGCTTCGAGAAACCCTAAACCCCAAACCCTTAGAAACCCTAAACCCTAAACCCTCATAAACCCTAAACCCTCATAAACCCTAAACCCCTAAACCCTAAACCCCAAAAAAAACCCTAAACGGTAAACATACGCTCAACCTCATACAACCCCGAAGGTCGAAACCTCTTGAGCTGCCAAAACCTCGTCAGCAAGCATCTCAGGTTTTAAACGAACCCTAAACAGGAACCTCTTAAATATAAATCCAGAGCTGCAATTACCACAAAAGCTAACTCCTAGACCTTCAGATCGATGTATGTAAGGGTTTAGAGACTCTGGACACTCTAGGACCCCAAAAAAGCACAGAAGAAAAAAATTGGATAGGGATATCCCATATAAACCCCCTTGTAATGAAGCCCATCAAGGTAGGGCTATCCCTATAAAATGCTTATGCTTATGTGTGTTTTTGGCCCCTGACTCTCTTCTCTTTGGGTGAAGCCGTGTACGCAGTGTCCTCGAAGAAGAAGGTGAAAGGCACCCGGGACCTTCACACGGTCAGGGTCTTGGGTCTAAGAGTTTTGAGGCTTAAGGGGTTCCCGGATCTTTTGGCGGTTCCGGGGGTTCAGGGCGTCTACAAAGGTTTACGGAGTTGATTTGGGTCCTGGTTTAGGGATGAGGGTCCGAGACTTTCGGTGTCAAGTGTTGCTTGTGCTTTGAGGTTGCCCGCTTTACAGCTTGGGGCTTGGGGCTTGGGGCTTGTCTGAAAACGCTTCTTGGCAAAAACCGGTAGTATACCACAGATGATGAAAGCCTCTGGGTTTTCTGAGAACACGGCCCAATAACCTGAAGCCGGTGTTTGAAGAACTGGTTGAGCAGGCCCTTGTGGCTATAATTTTCCTGTACTGTATCATCATGTCCTACAGGTCCACGTGCCCGAAGAGTAGGGATATTACAGGCATCAAAATGCCATCTTGAGTATCGCATTGTTGCCCCCAAAGTCTACCTTTCAGAGGGTTCAAATGGCAACAAGCCATTTGTGTCTGGTAGTACTACTTGGGTGCATGGACCCTCTAACCACTCCCCGTGCTACTATGGGCTGAGGAACCTGTCTTTAGGGTAGCTAGGCTGACGGCAGCGATTCCCTTCACCATAGCCCAAAGACCCCAAAGACTTCACGCCAACAAGTCTCAACACCCTCCACGGCTAATCTCTAGACCTAACAGCAACCACATACCCCAGAAAACGCGAGACCAAAACAACAAAGCCTTACCAAAACACAAAGCCATCAACAAACCAAACCTTAGCAAAAACACCAAACAGAACTGGAAAACCACCAGAAAGAGCTCTGAGTTTCGAGCTTGAACCCAGGATTGCTGTCGAAGAAGGCATCCATCTCATCCTCGTAGCCGGCGCAGATCACCTGAAACTCTGCAGAAAACATCGCGGTAAGGCTTAGGATTGCCAAAGGTTTTGTGTGTGTGGTCTTTACAGGGTTCATTGCATGATGTACTTCAAAGGCGCATGAACCTGTTTGTGAGGCGAAAGGCACCTTCTTCAAGACATACAACATTCATGAAGTAGATTAATTACTCGATTGCATAGTTTACCGTCTTGAGTTCGCAAGTTCGGATGGGAGTTCACCTCAAAACAGGGTCACTATCTTATTGAGTATTGCATGGGACCAATGATGCAGGATATTTGTTACTGGTTTCAACATGATAAAGAAAACCTCAAGTATGCCCCGCTGTTTGGCAATTAACTATATGATATCCAAGCTGTAAAGCCAAAACAAAAACCCTCACGCCCCAAGCATTGTTTGACTACACTGAACCCGAAAGCCTGAACTCAAGCAAGCCCTACCTCAATGTACGACATGGGGTGTCTTCATTGCTGGTATCCGAACCCCAAACATCCGATCAACAATTGCCAAATGGAGCCCTATATAGCCCTATTTCATCATATCTCTACCTATATAAGCTCTGACAGCAGCCGAGCCACCACGAAGTTTGCACGTTTGTCCTCCATCTCCTTGATGAGGGTGTCCTTAAGGAAGTTCAAAACGCTCAGCTCTTCTTCCTGTGCTACAGGTTAGCATGCTGCGTGCAGTCTGGCAGGATGTACGGCTCACCTTAATTGTTCAATGGAGCTCAACAGATGTCTCGACTGATATTGCCACGAAGCCCGCATGGCCGTTGGCACAAACAGGGCACAAGGCTAGCTAGGACCTCGGAGGGCTCCCCTGAAAGTTTAAGTGTTGTTGTTTTTGAGCTCCTTTTTCCCAAAGCTTAGGGGTTTAGGGTTTAGGGTAGGTAAACGATCCAGCCACCAGAAACTCTGAACCAGACTGCTCTGGAGTTTTTACGGGGCTGTATACACAGTTCGGAGTTTCCGAAAATAAGGGACCCTAGTATAATACCCTGAATAGTAGGATCCTTATTATGAGGACCCCAAAACAAGGTACCCCCAATTTTCGGAAACTCCGAGTTGATCACAGTTGAGTAGGGTGTCGGGTAGCTTTGGTGTTGGAGTCCCGCACCTGCAAACCCTAAACCCTAAACCCTAAGCCCTAAGCCCTAAACCCTAAACCCTAAACCCTAAGCCCTAAGCCCTAAACCCTAAACCCTAAACCCTAAACCCTAAACCTGAATCTTAAGCCTCGTCAGCGCCAGGTGGCAACCGCCTCGTGGCCAAACTGGTCGCGCTCCCCGTTCACCAGCGAATAAGCCTGGAAACACATCCCTGACTCTTTAGGATTGAGCGTTTAGGGCTTAGGGTTTATAGAGTCTAAGGCTCAGGGCTTCCAGGGTTTAGGGGAAATGTTAAACTCTTGGGAAGCCGTGGCAGGGGATATGGCCCTAAACCCTAAACCTTAAAGCCTGCGTGTACCAAGCGCCAGAGCCTTCAGACCCAAATCCTACAAAACAGTAGGTGATGATCTCTTGAGTCTAGGATAGCCCTGTAAAGAGTTGGTTTGGATCCAAAGGTAGAGCGCCGAACCCAAATCTCGTGCCACTGTAAGCATTTCGAAAACACTGCATGTCCTAGCTTAAATATAGGGGCCTCAATATTAGAGTTGGGTTTGGGGCCCATTCTACTATAATTACAGCAAGGAGCCCCCAAAATAGTAACGGTAATTATTTAGGCCGCCATATTGTCTTAGCGTATCCGTGCGCCTTTGGGCCTCGTTTCGTCATGATGCGTCTCCGGTATGCTCTCAGCATCAGGACTCGATCAAACGGTGCATGTCGTTTCGCTACGGCTACTGGCTCCAGACCACAAAACACAAAAAAATGTTAAACCCACACAAAAACCTGACCCTACAGAAGACACTTAAATCCGAAACTACCAAAACTCGCAACAAAGGGGGTGCCACAGGCCTCGTCCAGGAAGAAAACGCCCCCGAGGCTCTTTTTCACCTCGCAAGCTGGAGTGGTATAACGCGCCGGGGCCTGAATCACTAGAATCGGGTGCTGGGGCATTGTACTATGGTTATTGTATAATGGAGCCCCAAAATCGTGTAAATGAACCCCCAAACTAGTATAGGCAATTAGTTCAGCGCCTAAAGTAATTTCTAATCTAGAATCAGAGACTTGACCTGAAAGCCCTGCCCTCCACGAGGTCACAAGAAATTACCTCACCGTGAAAACTACACTTCTGGCTCCAGACCCTGACCCGTGCTCCAAAACCTAAGTCGCAAGCTTCCAGACCTAAACTCTGACCCCTGGATCCTGCTGAAGCTTTAGCCGCCACACAGACAAGGCAAGATAATCAGCCTCAGAGGGTCCTACAGATCTCAACCAAAGATCTAAACCCCACACCCCCAAGCCTTCAATTTGAGGACACTTGAAAAATCTAAACCTACTCCCCTCAAGCCTTCCCTTCAGAGACCCTCGAACAAGTTCTGATCCTAACCTGAAGTCCAAGCCCCAAACTAAAGCATGAACCAGAAGTCCTTCACTTCAGCGACCTTTTGGTGGCGGGACCCCTAATATAGTACCCTAAATAATAGTAATAGGATCCTAAACCCTAAACCTTAAACCCTAAACCCCCAATATAGCACCCTGTTTCCTTTGGCGGCCTCCTTCTGAACCTTTGGAGCCGTCTGCCCAACGTACTGGGCGACCAGGTCGCTCCGGGCGACTTCGTTGAACACCTACAGCCCGAGGTGCTTGGGGTTTAGGGGTCTAGGGGTCTAGGAGTCTAGGGGTTTAGAATTTAGGGTATAGGGTTTAGGGTCTAGGGGTTTAGGGTTTAGGGTTGAGGGTTTAGGGGGATTAGTAGGGTTTGAGGTTTGAGGGTTTGGGGCTCAGGGCTGTTTGTTGTTGAAGCCCCTCGTTTTCGTCTGCCCAGTTGCGTCAGCTCAGGGGTTTCGGGCTCAGGGTGAAGAGTTGAGGGGTGTGGAGTAATTAAAACATGGTTGCTTTAAAGGGTTTAGGGTTTAGGGTTTAGGGACTACAAGGGCTACTATAAGGGATCGAAAAAGGTGCCTTAATAGGCTTTTCGGGCCAGACTGGCCATGAGGGCCCAAGCCGCCAAAGCGATATGGGAGTTTCCGAAAATAGGGGTACCTTATTTTGGGGTCCTTATAATAAGGAGCCTATTATTTAGGGTACTATATTTGGGTCCCCTATTTTCGGAAACCCCCATATGCTCCTTGTGAATCATTGACAAGAACCTAAACAAAGTGCCCAGTTCAGGAACGGCCCAAACGGGAGGATTGCTGTTCCAAGCATGGAAGACAGGGTCCCAAGCATGAAACACTGGCCCCTAGGCCTCTTCTCATCCTAACAGGTGCCTGAATTTAAAGCTTCAAGATTCAAGGGGTGCTTCATAGCACCTAGACCCTCCATCTACCCTCTATTAGACCCTAAATGCCCCTTATTTGGGACCATATACCCCTATTTGAGGGTACAAGGAGGGTCCTGGCAAAGGATCCTTTCGTCCTGGAATGCTTTGGCCCTGGGAGGGTTTAGGGCTCTTTCTCGGGTTTAGGGTTTAGGGTTTAGGGGTTTAGGGATTTAAGCACACAGAACCAGTCCTGGGCGGACCCCGGAAGACGAAGTAGAACTCGAAGAGACACAACTAAAATCGATAAAGCAAGACTCCTGAAACTCCTGGTGGACAAAACAGACACACATCGTCCTGCTTAGAGGTAGAAGAAAGATTTCTTAGACTTGAAGCTCCTCGGCTCCGGGCGACAAATGAAAACGCCGTAGAGCCGAATTCCCAAACTTGAAGCCTACCTTTGTGGTAAAGGTTTGGGGTTTTAGCTCGAAGAAAATCATAGGTCGCGACATTTTGCCTTAGTGCCACAGCGCAGCCAAGTACCGAAATAGCACTTGCAGCGCCACCTCTAAAGCCTCAACACCACAAAGGTAGATCCCGAACCCAGTAAGTTCAAATCCGCCAACCTCAAACCGTAAACGCTAACCTCAAGCCGTAAACCACAACCCTGAACCCGGAACTCCTACAGAAAACCTTTCTCGCCTGGAGCCTGGTCCCTGCAAGCCAAAACAGCTAGAAGAACCGTTGCCGGACCCGGAAAGAAGCTTGAAAGAGCCCTAGCACCCAACAACCATGAAACCCCAAAAGAACCCTTCTAATATAGGGGGCCTTAATTAAAAAAATATGATCTATTCTATTTCGGGGGTTCCTTACTATGATTAGAGTCTAATGGGCCCCAAAACCCTATTCTCATTATTAAGGCCCCTATATTTTGGAGCCTTGACAAAACCTGTAGAAGAACCCCCCACTTACAAATCCCAAAAAATCCCGCTCGACACTGTGTCGCTGAGCCCAACGCAGGCTCCGTATCCCATCGGTTGTTCGGGTGCCTAGGTGTTTCAGGGATTAAATTTGGCATGCTCCTGAGATTCGGATGTTCCCCCAAAAGCTGACATGCACTACTGCTAGCAACCGGCCCAGTTCACCATCCGACACCCAACACGACCCAAGGGCTCTCCACCGAAATGGCTGACTTCTTCTGTCTCGTCTCTCCCATGTATGTGTGAACACAGATTTTGACGCCTCCCAAGCCTGCGTGCATGGGGATTTGGTGTTTGGGATTTGGATTCGGGACGTGAAACCAAGCGGGCTGAAAACGGCTGATGCGAACTGCTGGATGGCGGAAACTCTCTCCCCAGTGTAGTTTTCCGAATCCCAAAACGTTTGAAGCTCGAGTGCTGGAGATATCAGAACTGTACAAATCGAAGTCTCGGGTGCCACTCTTACTCTTGCCGCTCTTAGCTCTTCGAAGGTGCAACTCCACCCCGCAAGACCCCACCCTTGCCTCCCAAGATCGGGCGTAGGGCTTAGGGCTGACATTGAGGGTTTGGGGCTTGCGTCTACATCCCGACCTCTTAGCTATATGGCCTGGATCGGCGATAGGGTTTAGGGTTTCGACGGAAAGTGCCTACAGAGCCCGCTGTTCTGAAGCCCGACACTGGCAACCTCAATCGCAACACGCTCTGGGTACGAGATGGCCCCAAGAGCAATCAGCAGCTTTCCTTGGACGTCTGTGGAACAGGCTGCAAGTTTTAAGCAAGAATAGTTTTGGAATGACAACGACAAGAATAATTAATCGCAACAGCAACAACCACTGACACGACGATGACCACTGCGACCCGTTGTCTCTGCTGAAACTACACCACCACCTCTGCCGCCGCCACCACCACCACCGCCGCCGCCACAACCGCCACAACCGCCACCACCACCACCACCGCCACCACCACCACCACCACCACCAGCACCACCACCACCACCACCACCACCACCACCACCACCACCACCATCACCAACAGCACCACGACCTCCGCGACCACCGTTACTGCCGCCATTACCACACGGTATACGGCAACACAGGGAGGTAGCCTGGTAGCCGTGATAGTTACATCCTGACACCGAGAGGGAGACTAATTAGCAACGACAGCATATAAGCTTCAATGCTAAGCTAAGCTAAACCCCAACCCCAGCAGCTGGAAGTAGCAAAGCCATCGGCATCGAGACACAGTCTCAGGCTGAGGTGTCAATTCAAGCGGTTTAGGGTCCTTCAGCCTTGAACGCCACGCCCCACAACAAGCTAGCAAGATTGAAACCCTCCATAAACCATCTCATACCAAGCCTTTGCAAGCAGGCTTCCGGCCGACTGTCCAAAATGCTAAACTCTCTGAGACCTTTAAGAAAGCCCGAAACCCTAAAGCAACAAACTTGAAAAACAAAACAATGCTGCGAGGATCCAACGATGCGGGCCACGACGGTTTTGCCAGTGCCCGGGTTACCGAGGAAACGCATGTGGAAACTCTGACCTTTGCTGAAGACTTAGAAGGTTTGGGGTTTGAAGGTTTAGCGCTTGAGGGCTCTACGGCCTAGACTAGAGGTTGAAGGCGTTAAGGCTTGAGGGTTTCAGGGCTTGGCGGTTCGAGGGTTTCGGGCTTCAGGGTTTGTGGGATTAGGGCTTGAGGGTTTCAGGGTTCCAAGAATTTTGGGGGCGGGGTTTAACAGCGACAGGCTTTCGCCTCCACATGTCCTCCTGCAACACAAGCAAAGCTCTTGGCCCCCCGTAATTGGGTCCAAACACCCTGAACCCAACCAAAGGCCCTACAAGGTTAAAGTCCCTAAAACCCCTAAACCCTAAACCCTAAAACCCTAAACCCTAAAGCCCAATCGGAAAACAGCCAAGTGGCTGCTCAAGGCTTTCAGCCCAGCACGCTTGCCTTATTAGGGGGGTTTTGAGTTCAGGCATGTTGGGCTTCACCTGTATCCCCAAACCCTACAAAATAGTAGGTTATGACCCCTTTCTGAGAGGGTCTGACCCTGAAAACGGTAGGAGTTCAGGCATTTTGGGTTTCAGGGATAGTCATGGGTTTAAGGTTTATAAAGGTTTTGAGAGCAGGAAGGTTCATCGTGCCGTTTTGAAAATCGATATTAAAAAAAAAAGCTTCCTGCCAAGGCACGAACTTTGGCAAACTCCTCGGCAGAAACCGGATCTCTCTGAGCAGGGCGTCCGGATTTTGTAGCAAAGTGCTAGCTGTTGCAGTTTAGGGTTTAGGGTTTAGGGTTTAGGGGTTTAGGGTTTAGGGTTTAGGGGACTGCAAGAGTTAAGACGCAAGACTAAGTGACGTACTCTGCTGTCAGGAGCTTTTCCGTTACATAGCCGGGCAGCGACGGTGGCGTAGAACTCGCGCATGGCCCGCTTGACGGAAGCCAAACCGACCATCTTATCCAACCTCACAAGACGGGACTCAAGGTTCAGAGTAACATAGGGGCCTTCAAGATTAGAGAGCGCTTCCTTTCAGGGCTTCGGCAAAAGGATTCTAAGAGCGGTTACCTTAAGGGCTCTCGGATTTGGTGATAATTAGACATATGAAATTTATTAACGTCATAGACAGGAAACCCGAACGATAAGCTTAACTCATCGTTTCGGCAGCTATGGTAGTCAAGGGCTGTGTGTGAGTGTGGGGGTTTAGCATATTATGGTGTTGAAGTTTAGAGGTCCTTTACACTGATCCCGAAACCCTGAACTTTGGGGCTTAGGTTTTACCTGCAGCCCCCCCACCCACCCATAGCTATGCACAACTGTAGGACACCTTCTTGCAGGCTCCCTTACATAACTCCAAAACGTCGGAGTTGGGTGCCAGAGGTGAAGTTTATGGGGCCTGTATAGGTTGAGGGTTTAGGGCTCACAGGAGTTTAGGGTTTAGGGCTTAGGGTTCACAGGAGTTTAGGGTTCAGTGCTCGTTTAGGGTCTAGGCTTGAGGGTTGCTTTGGTCATAGGGATCCTTAGGGGTGTAGGGGGAGGGGGGGTAGGGGGCCTGAAGGCCCATAATAAGGACTAATAAGGCCTATTTAAGGAAATATAGCCCCCTACACCCCTCCCCCTACACCCCTAAGGATCCCTATGATTTGGGGCTCCGGGGTTCAGGACTAAGCAGCAGGGAGACGCGCCGGGCTCTCGGGCGCTTTTCGGGTTCAGGGCTTCGGGTTTATTAAGGTTTACCTTAACCCTGAGTAACCTACCTTTTACGGGTTCCTTATTATGATTTCATCATATAAGTCCCTAAAAGGGTAGGTTACAGTATCCCGTTTTAAGGTAGGGTTTAGGATTCTGGGCAGTATATAGCAGATCCCCACTTGGAGGTTCGCATGCTGGTTTAGCGGTGAAGTTCTTAGGATTTCTGCTTACCGAGCAGATGTTACTTGTCAACGGGGGGCCTAAGTCAGAGTCGCAAACAGTTTCGGCATAGAGGCTCCGCAAAGACTGCCGCCAGCTTTGTGTCTGTGATCTCCTTGGGCAGAGAAGGGGCACTTGCTTAAGGGTTTAAGTCAATCCAATTGCTGGACGTACACTGGGGCTGTTCTGAGTCCTTTAGGAACAGAAAACACTGAGTACACATTATCAGGGACGGTTGAGGACAAACAAAAGCCCTAGTAAACCTCCAGGAACTGAGTTGCTAGTCAGATCCCATCAAGCTAATCGTTTGCTACAAAATTGTGTAGTCTAGTGATCAACGGGTTCTACTCTAAACATCCATCTCAGTGGAGCCAACGTCGAGAATGGTCAATCAACTGCTAATTAAACGAACAGGATAACAGGAAATTCAGGAGGCAATAGGCTACATAATGTCAAAAAATCGAGAAGCGAGACACATTTGTGGAACAGTGCAACAAAGCACACTTTTGTGGTCAAAGCCATAGCCGGAACGGGGACCATTCACTCTTTGGCTGGAGCTGCCCACGATGACGCAAAACAAGGCACAGGGTCAACCAATGCTCAAACGCAAAAAAACTGCATACCATTGCCCCAAGCCAGTCAGTCCCGTCTTGAAACACTTTTGCCATCAAGGCCGCAGCTCCGGAACACGGACCAAGGTGAGTGTGTCATCACATCTGGTCAGGCTGGCGAACATGACCCAAGACAACGCACCACAAGCTCAATCAATATCAGTTGCAGGCAATCACTAAGCTGCATACGACAGCCCCAAGCCAGTCAGTCCCGTCTTGAAACACTTTTGCCATCAAGGCCGCAGCTCCGGAACACGGACCAAGGTGAGTGTGTCATCACATCTGGTCAGGCTGTCAAACATGACCCAAGACAACGCACCACAAGCTCAATCAATATCAGTTGCAGGCAATCACTAAGCTGACTAAGCTGCATCTGACAGCTCCAAGCCAAGCAGTCCCCTCTTGAAACACTTTTGCCATCAAGGCCGCAGCTCCGGAACACGGACCAAGGTGAGTGTGTCATCACCTCTGGTCAGGCTGGCGAAAACGACACAAGACAAAGCACCACAAGCTCAATGCATATCAGTAGCACGCAATCACTAAGCTGCATACGACAGCTCCAAGCCAGTCAGTCCCGTCTTGAAACACTTTTGCCATCAAGGCCGCAGCTCCGGAACACGGACCAAGGTGAGTGTGTCATCACATCTGGTCAGGCTGTCGGAAATGACCCAAGACAAAGCACCACAAGCTCAATGCATATCAGTTGCATGCAATCACTAAGCTGCATACGACAGCTCCAAGCCAGTCAGTCCCGTCTTGAAACACTTTTGCCATCAAGGCCGCAGCTCCGGAACACGGACCAAGGTGAGTGTGTCATCACATCTGGTCAGGCTGTCGAACATGACCCGAGACAACGCACCACAAGCTCCATGCGTACATGCTGCATGCAATCACTAAGCTGAGAACAACCCCAAGCCAGTCAAGGCCGCAGCTCCGGTACACGGACCAAGGTGAGTGTGTCATCACATCTGGTCAGGCTGTCGAACATGACCCGAGACAACGCACCACAAGCTCAATGCGTACCAGGTGAGTGTGTCATCACATCTGGTCAGGCTGGCGAACATGACCCAAGACAACGCACCACAAGCTCCATGCATACCAGTTGCACGCAAACACAAAACTGCATACGACAGCCCCAAGCCAGTCAGTCCCGTCTTGAAACACTTTTGCCATCAAGGCCGCAGCTCCGGAACACGGACCAAGGTGAGTGTGTCATCACATCTGGTCAGGCTGTCGAACATGACCCAAGACAACGCACCACAAGCTCAATGCATACCAGTTGCACGCAATCACTAAGTTGCATACGACAGCCCCAAGCCAGTCAGTCCCGTCTTGAAACACTTTTGCCATCAAGGCCGCAGCTCCGGAACACGGACCAAGGTGAGTGTGTCATCACATCTGGTCAGGCTGTCAAACATGACCCGAGACAACGCACCACAAGCTCCATGCATACCAGTTGCATGCAATTACTAAGCTGTTGAAACACTTTCGCCATCAAGGCCGCAGCTCCGGAACACGGACCAAGGTGAGTGTGCCATCACATTTGGTCAGGCTGTCCAAGATGACCCAAGACAACGCACCACAAGCTCCATGCATACCAGTTGCACGCAAACACAAAACTGCATACGACAGCCCCAAGCCAGTCAGTCCCGTCTTGAAACACTTTTGCCATCAAGGCCGCAGCTCCGGAACACGGACCAAGGTAAGTGTCATCACACTGGTCAGGCTGTCGAAAATGACCCAAGACAACGCACCACAAGCTCCATGCATACCAGTTGCATGAAATTACTAAGCTGTTGACGCACTTTCGCCATCAAGGCCGCAGCTCCGGAACACGGACCGAGGTGAGTGTGTCATCACATCTGGTCAGCAGGCTTGCCAAAATGACCCAAGACAACGCACCACAAGCTCCACGCATATCAGTAGCACGCAATCACCAAGCTGCATACGACAGCCCCAAGCCAGTCAGTCCCGTCTTGAAACACTTTTGCCATCAAGGCCGCAGCTCCGGAACACGGACCAAGGTGAGTGTGTCATCACATCTGGTCAGGCTGGCGAAAACGACCCAAGACAACGCACCACAAGCTCAATGCATATCAGTAGCACGCAATCACTAAGCTGCATACGACAGCCCCAAGCCAGTCAGTCCCGTCTTGAAACACTTTTGCCATCAAGGCCGCAGCTCCGGAACACGGACCAAGGTGAGTGTGTCATCACATCTGGTCAGGCTGTCGGAAATGACCCAAGACAACGCATCACAAGCTCCATGCATACAGTTGCATGCAATCACAAAACTGCATACGACAGCCCCAAGCCAGTCAGTCCCGTCTTGAAACACTTTTGCCATCAAGGCCGCAGCTCCGGAACACGGACCAAAGCGAATGGGTCATTACTTGGGCTCAAGACCTTACGACAAAACAGACAAGTTCGATTGGAAACATGAACGCTGAACGCCAAGCCCTCAACCGCCGCGGAACCCTAAATCCCCAAAACCCACACCTTAAACTCTTCAAGCACTTGAACCGTAAACCCTATACCCCTGCAGCGAAGGCCACGATGTCCGCAGCGCTCGTCACGGTTGTGCTTGCTGGCACAGCGGCCAAAAGCAGCTGGGAGATCTGGAGAACGAAGAGATGGTCTGACATATGACTTCAACTATGCCACTACGACTACCACCACTACTAATGATAATAATCACCATCATACCGCTACTACTTTCAGTGCAAGTACTACCGCGAATAACAGGGAGATGAGAAAGGACAAGAACACTAGTCGTAGTAGTTGGAGTTCGAATTGGAAGTGGGGATCTGGGGTGTGAGCTACCTGCGAAATTAATGGGACTTGAAAGGGGGTGCTTTAGAAGGCTTTGGAAGGAAGGAGTTTGAACCAGGGCTCTGGAATTAGGGTCTTGACAGAAAACCTTAGATCCCAAATCCTTGAAAACCGCTACAGACCTTCGGAAGCCCTAAAAGCCTCTCTTCACTACCCAAACCCTATGAAACCCTGCAACTTGGGACTTAGGAAGCCCTGCAACTTAGGACTTAGGAAGCCCTGAACAACACGCATAAAACCTCGCTTCAGAACCCGGGAGCGCCTGGCCACAGTTGCTCCTTGCCGTGGTCAGACCTTCGTTGAAGTCCGGCAAAGCGAGGATGCCTTGAGCTTCGGGGGATCCCTTACAGTGTGCCTTCAAGGGAAGCTGAATAGATCCTTTTGAAGGATGCCTTTAAAGGAGCCAGAATAGATCGCTTACCTTAATTAAGGGGTTCACATGGATCACTTAAGGTTCTCCTGAGGGTTCTGCAAGGGTTACTGTTAGTACACGAGTTACTATAAGGGTGCTTTGAATGGGTTTTGGGTTTAACGAGTTCCCTTAGGGTTCCTTTGCGGAAGCTCCTGTAAATGTCTGGGTGTTGAGTCGTTTAGGGTGCAGGG